GGTTAGCTGTGTATTGAGCATTCCCAACTGGTTAGTTGTGTATTGAGCATTTCCAATTGGTCAGTTGTGTATTGAGCATTCCCAATTGGTCAGTTGTGTATTGGGCATTTCCAATTGGTCAGTTCTGTATTGAGTATTTTCAATTGGATAGCTGTGTATTGAGCATTCCCAACTGGTCAGTTGTGTATTGAGCATTTCCAATTGGTCAGTTGTGTATTGAGCATTCCCAATTAGTCAGTTGTGTATTGAGCATTTCCAATTGGTCAGTTCTGTATTGAGCATTTTCAATTGGTCAGCTGTGTATTGAGCATTTCCAATTGGTCAGCTACATAACAATCACATTTAATTGATCGATCGTTACAGGGTATCAAAGTGGATTCCGTGCGCTCCTCAAGAACACACATGGGCAAGTCAATCAGTCCTGATCTCAACCACGCGATGAAAGACCAAGGTACTATAGCCAACGCACCTGACATCCCACAATTAGGGCTGAGATTGCCCAGTACCAAGCAAACTAGTTCGTTGGCGGTGACAGCCGGGTATCACACACGATGCCAGGTGCACCAGCATCTCGGTGTCCATTAGGGATATGTAGTATTGTTTAGAGCACTGTTTTGTGGCGTGGCTGTACGTGTATGTGGGTATGAATCCAACCGTGTGTGGACAAGACCAGGTTGTGTATTTATATATAAACGTTACAGTATCTCAGCGGAAAGGATTGTATATATCTCTACGCAGATAAGCTGTACTGTGACAGCTACACAGCACCACACAGCTGAGAATATATGATTATGGTCACAACACCACACAGCTGAGAATATAGGAATATGGTAGATGGGGTAAAACGTTAGCGTTTGCAGAGAGAGACTATATGAATATAGTAGATGGTGTAACGTGTTCGCATTTGCAGAGGCACAGAGTTTCCTCAATCACAAGTACAGAGCAGCGCGTGGGTTTATGTCGAGTCTATGGCATTTCTGATTCAGCGTTGGGCATTCACATGTACACGTGAATGCCATAACCGGCGTAGTTACTAGTAAGGTCACTGCACAGATGTCCGGCATTGTCAACGCTCATAGGGATGACACATCAACTGAAGAAACGTTATCAAGGAACACGCACGTGTGCGAATGCCACAGATTTTTGTATGGATGAGGTTTCGTTCAACCTGGGAACCTCTGATGTGTGTGAACGTGTTTGTGTATGTGTCTCCCTGTGGCGTTCTCATATGCACAACGTCCAGCTTGAACTGACATGTCTTTCTCTGTGGCAACCCCCACCGTACCCCATACCACCGGCACCGTTGATCGCGGCGCAGATGACTTCTATTCGTTCGGTATGTTGCCACTAGTGCGGACTTTGCTGATACCCGTGTACTAACCCTCGGCGAGTGTTAAAAAGAAAAGAATTTGATTTTGATCCAGAGAAGAGGCATTTTTTTCTTTGTCGCATGCAGCGCTTGCCGTTCGATGTGTTTTTTTATTTTGTATCTAGTAGATATGGCTTAAGTTTTTATTTAATCTGGAAGACCATATATGTACCATCGGTCGATGTTATACTCAGCTTATATACACATATGCGTGCTTGACAAAACACTGAGCGTTTCATGTATATTCGTACCATCTCTACAAAGAGATCGGCTTTATTTTCTTGATGTACATAACTGAACCTACTTGTTTTACCTGTTAACTGCCAGAACATCGCATCAACAGCAGTACCAGTCTGAAATCCATCGGAAGGCAACGCGAAATGACTGGCTCAACAAAGCCATCGAAGGTACACTCTACCAAT